CTGGGCCTAGCATCTGAGCTGTCATGGGCATGGCATTAGATTACAAGGTGCCCTCTGCTGCCCATGCCTTTGAGCACCCAAATGCCAGGGGGAAGAAGTTACCTACTCTTCCCTAGTCAGCAACACTGGCCGCAAACAGGTAATAAGGAGCATCAACCCCAGTGTCTGAGACTCTGGCCCCAATACGGACTTGTTCAGTAGTTCAGAGAAAGTTAGTTTCTGTCCCTGGACATTCTGAGATAGACAATTATACCCAGCAACTGAAAAGGAGAGAAAAGAAAATTTGAACACTATCATTAGGCCAGCTGAGACCCAGGCTTGCTGGTGAAGAAACTAGACTATCCCGGGGATGCTTTCATTCCAGGATTCTTTTCAAGTCTTCACCTTCTAAACACCGCACTTGGCCTTAGATCATGGGGATACGATGACAAGTTCTGAAAGAACTTCCTGTCTAACCCAGGGAACAAACATGTAAACAAATACATGTGACTCATGTGCTATGAGTCATAAGTTGAGAAAGAACACTGGCACTGGTCTAAGTAAGACCAGAAAGTAACAGGTTTTTTGTTTGTTTGAACACTCAAGAATTTATGTGTACAAATTAATGTTTTTCTTAAAAAACTATCACCTTGGGAAGCGATCCTCTTGTTTTCAGTATTGCTGCTCTTTCCTAACTCCTCTCTGGAACAGCATCAAATAAAGGCCCATACAAGAAAATATGGCACTGCTCTATCTGCCCTCTTTCACCAGCTTTGGTAATGAAGCACCTCTTTAAGCTTTCGCGGAACAAACCAAAAAACTCCTCTTTCAAACAATAAAGACCTGCCACCTTTGAGGATATTGAAAAAAATATGTATGTCTCTAAATGCACTTAACATCTACAGCTGTAGATCATTAGATCGTTAGATGACAGGGTGACTGCACAGAGGTGACAACTCTGCTCTCACTTGAGTATCAAACAGAAGTTCTCTGGTTATGGGATGGGGATGCCCGTCCAATCGCTTCACTCCGACATATGCCTTTGATGCATATAATTCTTTTCCCCCAGGTTAGTGGAGGTATAATTGACAAATAAAAATTGTATGTATTCAAACTGTACAATGTGATGATTTGATATCAAGTTGTGAAATGATTTGAAACACCGCGAAATGATACCACAATCAAATTAATTAACATCCATCACCACAGTTACCACTTCATGTGTGTGTGAAAATTTTGCTAAGATCTTAGCAAATTTCCAGTAAACATACAGTATTATTAACTACAGTCGCCATGCTGTGCATTAGATCCCCAAAATTTATCCTATAACTGAAAGTTTGTGCCGCTGTGACCAACATCTCCCCATTTCCCTCACCCCTGGCAACCACCATTGTATTCTCTTGATGTGTACACAGTAATCCTATTTCATGTGTGTTTTCATCTTCCTAACTAGCAACGCAAGCACTGGAGGTAAGAAAGAATGTCTTCCAAGCCTGGATGTGGCAAATGCCTCAAAAACCAGGAGTCTTGGGCATTGGAGAGAGTTTGGGGTGCTCTACACCAGGCAACCCCCACTGTCAAAGTCTTTAATAAGGGACATAGTGTGGAATATTCCAAACACTTTAAAAAGCAGCACAGGTCAGTGTGAGAAGCAGGCCAATTCTATCTCCCTCACTGTCCAAGGTCTCTTAACCTGTCCTTAATAATAACCTCTCCTCTGTGTAACTAAGTCCTCAGGACATGGGCTGGGCCCTAGCTTCAGTGTCCAGCCCATCCCCCCTTCTTCCCAGCACTGTCTGTTCCATAGCCAAAGACTCGGGAGCTGCTCCAAGGTAAGCTTCTTGGGCACAGGACTTGTTTGTTTAACCAAACCGGGTGCCATTAACACTTGCAGCTTTACCTGCTTACCTCTAGTTAACCTTATGCAGGTACAGGTCTTAGGTATGACTACCACCCAAGCAATCCTGTAGGCTTCAGGGTCAAACGTGCAACATGAAGCTGGGAATGTGGAGATTGATGGGTTAGGGACAGAGGTAGGTTTCTGATCCATTCAAAGGTTCTGCTGGTTAAAGGGCTGTTTATGGAGTTGCTGGAGGTTTTCAAGACTCCACAGACTCAAATATTCATACATGACACTCCCTTCAGCAAATTCCTCTTACGTTCTCCAGACACCAAAAGGTTAATGACCATGGAAAGCAAACTGGAGTCACAGGAATGGAGATGGCTCAAACCAACTGCTGCTGCTTTTCTTCCAGGGAAAACACTTCAGTGCCATTCCCAGCAAGTGTGACTGGCGGACACTTGCTTAATCCTATGGCTCTTCAGGGGGAGCTAACAGTCCCTGCATCGATGCAGAAACTGTCGAAAGCCTGGCTCTCCCGACTCTGATTTAGAGGCTAATGCCAAACTTAACCTCAAGAGATATTTACCTGGAGAGAATCATCATTTTTTGCCTGATTCCAGGGATCTGAAAAGGTGAGGGAAATTATATTCCACAAATTCCTTAGTATTCAGTATGCTAGGTGGACCGCCCACTGGGAGCTGGTTAGAAATGCTAACTCAGACCTGCAGAATTAGAATCTGCATTTAAATGAGGTCCCCAGGGCATTCCCATGCACACAGAAAACAGAACCCGTACGCTGGACTGGAACAAAACGGTGCCAAGATGTGACCATTTCTCATTAGGTCAAGCTTCGCTGCCCTGGCAGAGGTCGGGTGGAGTGGGCTTTGGAGAAGATTCCACACCTTAGCTGACCGAGATAGACCAGGCATGCTGACTGTGGCAGGGGCAAGTCAGATTTCTCTGGGTTACGGATGGGGAGCCCTGCCTGCCTCATAAGACGCCCCAGACAAGAAAGAGCTCCGGACACCGCTCACTTCCTTCCATTGACCCCAGAAACATCATATGCTACACTGATGCAGAAGACCCTCAAAGGGAAGGGGATTGGCTGTGGTTTGGCAACCCCCCCTTCCCAGTCCAAAGTGGGAAGTGGATCAGAGTTCCCTATAAACGGTGCCCCTGGCTATTGCTTCCAGTGCGACCTTCCCCATCCGGCGACAAAGTGTAAAAAGGGCTCCCTAAGCCTCAGTGCCCACCCTGAACAGATCAAGCAGAGATCCACATCCCCACTTGAAAGAACTCCAAAACTGTCAGGAAAGGACCTGGCAGACACCTCAGGACAGAGACAAAGGGGAACAGCATGGACGACAGAAGACCCAGCAAGGAAAAGAGAATGAGTCAAGAGCGGCAAGAAGAGCCCCTGGGAACCTTTCCTTGGCTCCTTTCTAACCCAAGAGAGCATCTCCCCCTGTCCTGCCCGGGTGCTGTTTCTTGTTCAGTCTGGGAAGACCGTGTGGCCATGGACAGCAGACACGTGCTCAAGCTCTGGGGCTCAGTGTGGCGTTCTAGAATCCCCAACAGTTCAGACAGCCGAGGACCGAGGACCCGGCTGTGCTCGTGGGGGTGGGACCGCTGCCCGGGAAAATAAGCCTGCGGCCCCCGCCGCTGGGTGGGCTGC